CCCCGCCGGAGTCTCCGAAACCCTTCTCCGCCTCGCCGGAAGAGGCGTTTCCAGCGGCGGTGCGGGAGGACGACCACGACGCCGACCGCCAGAACATTTTCCGGGAAGCGGAGAGGTGGCACGCTTCGTCGTTGCCCACCATACCCAGTTGCTGAAAAATCAAGAAAAATCAAATTTTGTGCAAAACCCACAAAAGATTGGAAGAGCCCTAGGCAACTAGGTTTTCTGGGTCACGCTAAAACGGTGCGCATTGAACGCAATTGAAGAAATCGGAGAAACATAGGGTGAACCATTTGACAGAGAGAGAGAAACCCACGAAGAAAAGAAAGGGTGTAACGGAAAGAAAGAGCGTCTGAATCTTGGGAGTGAAAAACTGAGGAGGTGGGAAAGGTGAAATTGAGGGAAAGGTGTGATTTTTTTTATGCAGAGGTGAAATTGTTTTGGGGTTTGAGAGAGAAATTGGGATTTGATTTGAAATGGGGGATAGGGATTAAGGAACTTGGGTATGTGAGAAAGGTATTTGAGTTGTTGAGAGCAGGAAGGGAAGTGGTTTATAGGAGGGAAGAGAAGAAGGGTAAGTGCTAATAGTATTTTGTATTGAGTGAGGAGAGAGAGAGAGAGAAAGAGTCCTTTCTAAATTTATGCCACCTCAGGCTTTCTTTCTGTTTGGGGTTTTCTCAATTTTAATTTTGAATTTTACTGTCAAATATGGAAACATGAATCAGAAATATGATTTGTCTTGCAATGCAAACTCGGGAGAGGAGACCGACCAAAAACTTGGATAGGTGTATATGGAAGAAAGTTTATTCATACATGTATGTGGAAGAAATTAAATATTGGTCTTTCATTCAAGGATGACTATTTACCATCTAAGAAAAGAAGGAAGATTATCGGTCAATAATTTGTTTCCCTACCTTTAATATTAATTTTTTTACCATTTATTTTATGTTGATGTAATAAAAGTCTACAATGTGAAGATAAAAAATTGTTTTAATAATGAACATTATGATTAAAAAACATTAAATATAAAGAGATTTAATTTAGAATTGCCAAATAAATTTAAACAAAAGCTAAAACAATTAAAAAATTATAAGTATAGAAATTAAAATATATATATATATATATTAAATTATAAAGATTAAAAGTGATAAAAAAAATATTAGTACATGATTAAAAAGATTTATTTTAAACTATATAAAATAAAAGGTAAAATAACTTATCAGAACTAAAAATAATATTTTAAAAGTTTTTCAAATATGAAACGTGAAGTTTATTTATCAGAAAATTTGATTGTTTTTGTAAATAAAGACTCTTGGAGTCAACTATAATCAGGGCTGACCCAAGTATAAAGCAGTCTAAGACTCTAAATCTTAGTTTTAGGCCTCCAAAAATATTTTAGGGCGGTCCTGTGTAAAATAGACTCTCAAAATATTTTTTCTACTTATAGAACTTAATGAATTAATTGTATCAATATCAACTTTGGTTTGTTGGTCAATGTCTAAACCTAACATTGTAAGGATTGGGGTTTGACCCTAGTATTATAATTTTTTCTGAAAGTTCCTTGTTTATAGGTGATTGTTATAATTCTTCTCTCCGCTAAATTAAGCCCCAAATTATGAACCTTCTCACTTTCTTATTAATTCTTCTTCTCCCATTAATTTAAGTCTCAAATTATGAACGTTCTCATTTTTCTATTAATTTTTCTTCTCCCACTAAATTAAGTCCCAAATTATGAACGTTATCGACTAAACTTGTTATATTCTTCATTTTCTCTCCTTGCATCTCAAAAGACTCAAAAAATAAATTTTAAATAAAATTAAAATAAATTATTGTTATTGATTTTAAAAAGGTCAAACTTCAAAATTTGTTTTGGACTCGAGTCGACCCCGACAACAAGTAAGAAAAATTAATCTCTAATTAGAAGAAAAAAAATATTATAATTCTGAAAATAAATATTTATTATCTCAACTAATCATTATATGAGATTTGTTGACACGTTATATAAATACTGGTTAGAAAGTACATGGTATTAGACTGCATGATAATTTCTCGTAGATTACGGAATACCCGTTGGAAAAAATATATATGAGGCGTGCTTGAAATATATACACGTCTTTTGATTTTTTTTTTTTTTTTGAACTAAATTTTCCTTTGAAATATTAATGTGATGAACTCATACATGAAACTTTCATTTTTCATCTAACAGATTCAATGATGAATTAGTTTCACTATTAATTATTTTTAAAATGCTTTACTTGTGTTTGGGTTAAAAGATTTAATATGTTTGTGAAACCCGCCAGTGAAAGATTAGGTAATTATTTGCCATTTGAGGATTAAAAACTAACCCTCAAAAATCTGTTTTTATATTTTCTAATGCTTTCACATGAACACGATATGATGAATATGCATTTTACAAGTGTGGAACTTTCATTTGAAATATTTAATGAGAATTTGGTTTCGACCAATGGAGATTAGATTAACAAAAATGACTAGGTTGTGATCCAAGGTTTAAATTTTCACTATAACTATTAATGTTGTCTTGAATAACATTTTTTTTATTGATAAAAAAATAAGATTACTTTTAAAGAAAAATACATGGAAAAAAATGGTTTCACCTTGCAATAAACTTTTTCCAATGCTTTACTTGTGTTTACTTTAAAGTTTGTAAGAAACTTTTGAGAATAAACTCTTTGTAAATATTCTTATTAAAAAAAATAAAAACATAGACAAAAAATTCCACTAGTGTATTTAATTCAAATACAAATAATTAAAAATAAAAGAAAAATATAATATCAATGTGGACTAATGCTCAACGATGGGACATTAATATTTTTCAATTGAATCAATTAATAATTACATGTTATTATATCTATGTGTAGATAATCTATATATAAAAATTAGGAAATGAGACTGTATATTAATTATTTATCCGATAAATTATACCATATTATATATATATATATATATATTTTTTTTTTTTTTTTTTTTTTAAAAAATTTAATTTTTTTTTTT